CAGGAAATGTTCTGACCGAGTCAATTGACCGTTGATAGTTATTGTTGCTTTGGTAAATAATTGATTTATCCTTTTATTAAATTTAAGGATCATAATTTATTTTGATTAGATTTGTGTTGTTATTATTTAATTGTTTTATAATTTAGAAACATTACATAAAGAATATTATTACGACCAATCAGAGCCGAGCAAATGCCTCGAGCGGCGCCATCTTGATTTTGGACAGTGCGTTTAGGAAACGCAGGGTAGTTCTGATTGAGTAGAGTATTCAGTGGAGCATTTTGGTGATGAGACGTTGCACCGAGTTGGGTCTAAAATATTTGTGGTTAAGATTGTGATTAAAAGCGAAATCGGTGCCTTGAACCCGCTGCTCGTTATAATTTAAGCTAAAAGCTTATTTGTAATGTTAAAAGGAATCAATCTAAATTAAATACTGTAAGATAATTATTAGTGTCCCTACTAATTCCGCTAATGATGATGTCCATATCGATAGAGTGAGGATATATTTCTCCGACATATTGAATAAAAATTATCCGATGGTGCCAAAATTCATTACGGTTTCCCAATATTGCGTATTTTTCTTAAACGACAGTTTAGTGGCTTTAGATTGTCCTCCACTATTTCTGTATAAGCAAGTGTTGTGTAAATTCTTTGGTGCATAGCTAACATTAAAACGCTCGACCTTAACTATTAGAATTTAACTAGGTTATCTATTAAAATACAAAGGTATATTTTTTTCATTCTTACTTTTTTATTCAACGACTAAAAACAGACTATGTTTTAAAATTTTATTTAAAATGAATGATATTACAAAACGCAATTAGGGTCACAAGTGGCTTCGGTACTGTCAGCTAGAAAAGTTCCATTTATAACAGACATTAAAAGACATTTTTTATCTAAAATTCTTTAAACGCTGCGTCCTGATGCCATGTTCTTAATTTGTCAAAAACTTTGTCTCGCTGAAGTAACGCCGTTAGGTTCGGTGTGCACGCGATTGTACTTTTAATCACACTTCAGCTTACTTTTGTATTTAGTCAGAAACCTTTTCAGGTATGTTGGCCAAAATACTATTTCATTTTATCATAATCCAATAATAGTTACTTATTCACTTTTGTAATTCATTGGTATTTTTTATAAACAAATAAATAATCAATTAGATCGCAAAGCTAGTTCAGTCGTTTTTAAACACATTGACAATGTTTACGGATAGTACAAATATAATTCAAATGAGTAAAGAAATATGGCGCCTTGAGAGAAACAAGGTTATTCGAATATGGGAAAGTATAGTGACATGGCTTTTATTACTAAAATATATACCTTTATTTAACTTAAGGTGCTTGAATTCTTACCTTGCTGTTTCTTGATACTGAAGATTCCAGAGCCGGTGGTTTCCTTTCAGAATCCATAAACAACGCAATCCAGCGCACAGTTTGTCCTAGACCCTTTTTATTAAATTTCTTTCTTTCACATTCTATATGTGTTTCTTTAAATTTATAACTTAAACACATATTAAAGCAGTTCCTTTTATTTCTACTAAATTGTATTTCTATTATTAGAATGATGTTAAGGGTGTCCCAGATCGTTTATCTGCTGCAGTACATTGCAACAGGATATTGCATTGAAATTAACTCCTACACTACAACAATTCCTTTGACATTTCTTTAAAGAAAAGCAATAAATAAAGCTCATAGACTTATAAGGATTCACTTTTAAGCTATTTAGTGGTGTTCAATAAAAGATATAATTAAAAATACACTTTTTATTCCAAATTCATGCACATCTACATTTGTTCTCGCTAAGAATAACATTGTGATATTGTGCTATTTAAGTAACAAGAGAATCTATCCAGTCTGCCAATTTAATACTTTGAGTTAAATAGAAAAGGCAATAGTGAATCTTAGTAATTCTCTCAAGCTTCACTATTACTTTACTGTGAGTATAAACAGATTTGCCGTATAAGTATTTAATTAAAAGTAAAGTAGGTAATTTACCAAAACTTTGCTACGACAAAACTAGTTATAATCAAGATGTAAGAGTCTCGTCATACAAACGATATCGAAACAATGGCAAGTTTATATAAATATAACTGAACTGTTTCAATATCCTCTATATACCTTATCAAATTCGTCGACAATGATTACTATAATTACGAATTAGTTATGCAAAAATATTAATTCATATACTCCTTTGAATATAAGGTCACAAGAAAGAATAATAAAATATCGTTTATTACAATGCCTACCTTATTATAACTATATAAAGCTACGCCATTTAATTTCGTAGCACTACGTCGTAGGCCCTGTAGCTCGGTTGTAAATTTACTACTTACCGAATACTGCTAACTAGAAGTGAAAGTAAAAAAAATAAATTTAACTATATAAAATCAGGAATATTAAAGAAGAATTAATTAAGTTATTTTAAGAGTCATAACTTAAAAATGTAACCACTGTCGAGAACTACTTAAGTTAGGATAATACACCACAGTCAACGGCACAAGTGATCAGTATTAAAATTATTTCTTCTTATATTATTTTTTGTCTTATATCTTATAATAACTGAAGTATAAGGATTTTCCTTAATATTATTTGAATTGTAAGGAAATACTTACATTATTGTATCAAAATTTGAGAATGACTTCAATAATAAAGAGAAGTATGGAAAATTATAAACCTGGATATTCCAAATACAAAACATCACTTCTGCCCTTGATTGTTAGCGTTACATTACATTATTATTGCTATTCATGATACAAAATATATGAAAAGAAATTGTCTTCTTACAAAAGATATCATACATTATTTCCCTATTCAGTCGTTTACAGACATCTCCCGGGTTCGTATACTAATATAGGAGTCTCAACAAGGTGCATTTACCAAGTTTTGTCGGAATATTGTGATATTGTATTCGGGAAGGTACTTTACTTCGGAGAAAACTTTCAATTTTCGTATAAATTTCCTACTTCGTCGAGAATTTTGTAGGGTATTGTTAGGTTTATACGAAGAAACGTTTATCTATGAAAAGAATTGACAATAAGGTTTATGGAAAATGTTAATAAACAGTCGATGACAGCCCCCTGTGTCGAGTCGTGACTTGTGACTGTTCCATAGATCATTAAAATTGTGTTAGCTGCTTAAGAAGATGACACCTAAACTCTAAGTTTCTATTAAATATTTATAATAAATATTGTGGTTATGACTACTGAATTAGTTAATCAGTGTATAGCAACAAGGGGCTATAGTTGATATACCTTTAGGATAATTTTTTTTAATACAAAAAAAATTCACTGATATTTCGCTAATTTAAACGTACATATATCAGTTTCGTACAGTAAAACTTCGATAAAATGCAACAATTAGACCTCTGGAGACAGATAATTTTTAACTTAATATGGTTAAGGAAACTAGTAAAAGAAACCTTCCAACCAAGGAGATGTCAGAAACCCACTATCTAACGTATGGGAGGTACCCTGATATCGATTACTGTGCCTATTCACACCAATCATACTAAATTCAGCTAAATTAATTCTATCCGATTCGATTTTATAAGATTACTAGTGATAAGTTTCTTGACTCGTTATAAAAAGAACATTTAAGAACCTGTAAATAAGGTATGTATCACACTAAATAGTAAATAAAAAGCATTGAATCTTTTTAATATATAACGTTACCTTTCGTACAAATTTTATTTCGTATCTTAAGTGAAAATTTTGTTAAAAGTACTATAAATTTCGTCTAGGTTTAGTAGATCTTGAATTGAATTCGATATATGCTTCCTAATACCATAGATGAGGAATAGAAATAAATATGTGAATAATTTAATTACAAATTACATTATTTTACTAAAATACTTTTACCCTTTGTGTAGGCAATTTACCAGTTTTTTTATTGTTCTAAATGGTAAAAAGTAGGAATGTATTTAATTTGAATGAGAGTATAATACATATGTCACAACCATATCTGGCCCGGTTAAAACAAAATCTTAAAGGACCTTTAAATTTGAGCTTATTATAAGTGAAATAATTAATCGTGCAAACAATATAATATATTCAAACTGTATTTAATGTAGTAAATATGTTACATACATTATCTATGTAATTCAAATACGACAAATTGATTAAATCGTTAGCGAATCACAATAATTACACGCTATAAATTTATTATACTTATTGATCAATATAATCAATTTATATGCATAATATGAATTCAGCTAATATTATTTTAGTGCGAGTGATGTGAACAGGCTTTCGCTATTCGATTCCATTTGGAGATGTAATAAAATCTATTATTTACATTATAATATTGTATATTTATTATTTACACTTAATATATAACTATTTAGTTTAAGAGTCCAAGGGTCCGCGTGAATATTAAAACGTAGAAAGATGAGGAATTACCTTAATGTATTTAAAACTATTATTTTAAGAATGAAATTATGTATATTTTAATTAAAACTGTATTTTGTTATCTAGTGAAAACAAATATTTACTAAGTATAAAAATCTGCGAATAGACTTCACACTCATATTTTCTCTAAAAATAATTCCAGACTAGAAGGCTCTAAGAAAGTTTCTTAAGATACAACTAAAAATGAGAACAATAGAAAATGTTTTAAAACAGTCTGGAACAGAATTCCGGGGTCTACAATATTTCATTTTAAAAACCAATTTTCTCTCAAGTGCAATAACAGAAATGCTTCATAACAAATAGTTTAGGCGCAATTTAGTCTTAACTACTATTTCGAACTTGGCACAAGATTGTCATTATACAAAAATGAGCATACACATATTATTATCAAAATATACTAACACAGTTTTTGACTAGACAACTTTGGTAATTGTAGTTCACAGGTATATTTAAATCAAATAACCCACATTAAACGGAACGCAAATGGATCGTGCACTGTACACTCGTTATATATACAAAACTATTCATACTCAGTCGCTTTATCACTTCGGTAGCGTCTAAATTGCCCTGTTTACGCGTTATCGTTACGCCGTCGTCGTCAGATGTCGTTAGCGTCCCCCACATACCCCTCGTCAGGGCTTTCCGAACATATATCAGACGCACATTTAGCGACTTGTGGCAGTGGTTTTAGAACGTTTTCCGTACCTTCCCCCGGTACTCGTGTATCTGATGTTTGGGTATCTACACACCTAGTTTCGACTTGGTAACACCTACCGGGCGCTTCTATTCCCATTGGAACCATAACAGCACACGTTCCTTTCGGGTTCCAAGCCGCACATGGCTCTTGGGTGGCGCAACACTGCACTGTTTCAGTTTTATAACCTTCGGGCGGCGAAGGCACGAATTCTTCATTATAATACACAGTCCCATTTCCTACAAAAGCAATTTGGCGGTTGCGAGGAACTGGGTATCCCTCTAAAGTACGTCGCACATTTGTCCCGTTAAACATTTCGAAGTTACCACAAGGGGGCGGAGTCACGTTAAATTCTGTGTCTTTAGTGAACTTACAAGCGAGCTTTTGACCTTTTGGCCGATTATGAGGCAGTGTTTGGTAAAAGGGGCCGACAACGGCATAATTAGACAACATTGGCGCTCGACATGGGTGTTTAGGTAGGCCGTAGTCAAAAGGATACCCATCACTGTCTAAAAAGCAGCCAGGATTAAGATGAACGTCGGCCGAATGTTGGTACATTGCGTTTTGTGGAAGGCTCATACTGTTAGCGGTTTGCTGGTCTTGCCAGGTGACCTGTCTTTGTCCGGATGGGGCAGTAAAGGCAGTCTCTTCCTCAAAGGCGTCGGATGCGGTTTGCGTTTTGTACACCGATAACGCTGTATTCTCATTCTGAGCGTTGTTTGCAACCGTTTCCGCATCGCTAATTAGGTCGGGATTTCTGTCTACAAAGCCTTTCATGTTATTGCTTTGATACGTGTCGTTCGACTCGAATTCTCGGTTTGTTTGCACTGTATAATGCAATGAGTGGTGCGAATGTGCGTTCACTATAACGCTGCCGTTATTTTTGGGCAAAGAGCCATTACCTCGACTAGAAGGCAAAATTTGATTACATAACGCGACGTCCTTCCCACTTTCCTTCTTTTTACGACTTCTCGTATCCGTTTTAAATTTTAATAACACAACCGTTATTATAACGATAAAAAGGACAATTATTAGAAATATCACTGTTATAATCACTACTAAGTGTCTATGGGGAAATGTAACCACGATGACAACTGGTTCTTCTTTAATAAGAATTTTAATTGTGTAATTCGTTCGAATTCTTCCAGCCGAATTCTCGGCAATACAAGAGTAGGTTCCATTATCATCATTACCGATGTTGTAAATGTACAGTTCACTTTTTTTGTCGATAACTCCGTTCTCAACGTAGAAAACATGGTGAGGCTCGGCGGCAGACGTCGAGTAATTACGTATAAGTTGTCCTTGATAAAACCATTGTACTTTTGCCTCGGGCACAGCCTTGACTATACATTCCAGGGTTATATTATTTCCAATATTCGTCTCTATAAACGATAGAGTTGGGGTAATTTTTGGCAAGCACGCTAAATCGAATTCATCGACACTTGTGATTGTGCGTTTTTTCAGCCGCTCAGGTTGCGAGCAAATTGGCTCGACAGCGTGTGGCATATTGAAACTCGATAGCCAGCTATGTAAATCTCGCAAATGACAATCACAATTCCAATTATTACTCTCCAGATCGATACCCCGCAACGTATCGGGAAACAAATTATCGCCTTGAATATTTGATAGCCTATTACCATTCAGTCGGAGCCATTCCAAGTGCTTCAATCCAGCGAAAGCCTCCGCTTCTATACTTTCAATTTTACAATTGCTCAACTCTAATGTATTCAGATAGGACAGATGTTGGAAGCAGTGAGTTTTTATATTCGTTATAGGATTGTTGTTCAAAGAGAGTCTCATTAGGGATGGAAAAAAGACAAAGTTGCTGGATGGGACGACTGTGATGTAATTATTGGATAGATCTAACTCGACTAAATTGGCGAGGCCCCTGAAGGCGAAGTTATCGATTTTCTGCAACCGACATCTCTGGAGATATATTTTCTGTAAGTCTAATAAGCCGAGTTTGTGGAATGCTTCCTTTTGTAGGACTTGCAAATCATTGCCCGTGAAGTCTAGTACTTGTGTTTCGGAGTCTAGCGAATCGGGGATTGCTTTTAAATCTTTGTCGGTGCACTCGACATATCGTTTGCCGTTTTTCCACTTGCAAACACACTGGGAGGGGCAAGCGATAGCCGGGACCAGTATACAAGTGCTCCACAGGGCGATCAGCCGCACGTCTAGACTTCGTTTAAATTTCATATTGCCTCAAGGCATCCGTGAAACAGCAACAAACGCTTTCATTATCTGAAACAAAGAAATGAAAATGAAATATAGCTATTAATTTTTTTCGTGGAGTATTGTTTTTATACTTGAATGGTTTTGCTTTGTTCTCTGAGATCAATAGAATAATTTGGACCATCTGCTTGGAATATAATTCAAGTTGCGATCATATAATTTTTTAAAAATATATATAATAGGTCTGGTGTCTTCTTTAATTAATATTGGTATAAGTTGATTTGCTATAAAAGGGATTCATTATAACTTTTAAAAGAGGAAAATTCGCCAAAAAACAAGATTAAACTTGAGATATTTAAGACAACGCAAATTGATGAGCTTTTGGTGTAAATGACCAAAGAAATTTTAACCTTTAATACGAACCTAAAATAAGATATTTTGTATTTTTCAGTGATAAATTAAAACTCAATGCGCTATAGACATTGACAAGGGTACGGGTTGTCAGTTTAATATCGTTGAAGATATTTGTAAAAAGTAATTTAAAATATTCGTAATATATCACGAATAATAAAATTAATATATTAAATACTATTGATTTAGAACGCAAAGCTGTTGGTGGCCAGGCTAAATTCTTTTTGCAAACGATATTATAACTCTACATAGTCAAAGCTTATATATGAGAGTTTACAATATAGAACATTATTTACCACACACGTATATTCGTATTTTGCAGCACGTTTTTCCATTAGAGCGTTGAGACTTAAGTAAAGGTGACAAACTGTCAAGAGCTCACTCAGGGCGTTAATGATTAGCGACCTACTTCCACAAGATGTAGGCAGGCGAGAAACAGAGAATCGAAATTCCTCAATTTTACCTTATGAGTGATACAGTAGGTATGAATAATCTGATAATTAATAGTTTATTTATGAGTAAGGGTGTGAAAACCATATATTGGGCATGAAAAGGTTAATTCTTGAATTTTATTGCTATTTTGCGATGGTATCATTTGGGTATTGCAATATTTGTTACATTATTTTTAATCGATTAAAATTAGGGTTCTAAATTATGTCTACTATCTTTGAATCTACCTCTTTTCTATATCTACAATACAAACAGCGGTAATATATAAATATAAAGTGATATAAATTTGATTAAAAGTTATTGTTATGAAACTATACAATAATTTGTACACGAAGAGTTCAAAAACTTAATCATAAAATCTGAAATATGATTCTTATAATTCATCGGATTACGATTACACTGATGAAATGTATGGAATTGTATCAATATGCCTTTCAATGGAGAAGGCAATTCGACCCATTATCGCGACATATTGAAATGAGCCGTCGACTTAATTAATACTGAAATTAATTAGTTCATGCTCAATCTACTATTATCTTGGATAAGCCTACTTACATAATATAATTATAGATTTAAAATGATAGTCATGTTAATTGATAATTAGTTAATATTAGACATAACCATAGACATATCATTTATTACAAACAAAAAAACACACACATAAACACACAAAATAACAATAATCAAAGAGAAAAAATTAAATAAAATATATAATGAGAGATATATAAAAAAAAACCCATTCGGTTCGTCTCAAGTATGTTATGCGTGTGTGCTGTGACTGTAATTGGCCCTGGCTCAGCATTATGCTGAGGAGCAGAATGTTCCACAGCGCAGGTCATTCTGCCAGAGACCACATCAGCTAGTTTGCGCCTCAGTCGCAAAAAAAAAAGAATACATTAACACTTAGTAGAAGATAATAGTAATATTAGTAAAGTTAGCAGTATAAGTAATGAAGTCTTGTGTAATGTGGTGTGAAGTAGAAAAAATAAAATTAAAAGTTAAAAATAAGAATATTTGTTAAGAATTAGATAATTAATTAATTAATATAGCTGCTACTAAATTATGAATTTAATTTAAGACTCTAGATAGATATTAAGATAAAAATTATTTTATTTTGAATAATATGTAAAATGGTGTATATATTTTATGTATTTTCATATTCGACGACGAATATATGTAATTGCTTTATTTGAATCCTTCAATTTCACATCGAATTTATGGCCGAAGGATGCCACAGTCAATAATTAGTAGAATATGTATAACATATTGTTTATCATTTAAAAAATGATCTTAAGCTCAATTTAAAGAAACATATACAGTCATTATGTGTCTAATGTAGTTCTTAATAAGTTTCGGTATTATGATACAACAACAATATTATATTTACTCTTTAAAATAATAAACCATTACGTTAAGTGAATCGAGTCAATACTAACAAGAGCGTTATTACGCTCCCTCTGTCAGCAAAAAACATAAATAGGTACACAAAATAAGTATATTTTGCTAAAACGGGCAACGAATCTAAGGAATATCATAAAAACGTCCATACGGCCGTACTGAACGCAGTTATTCGGAAAAGAGGGTTGTTTTTTGTCAAAACAGCCTTATTTCTTATATTCATGTGATTCCAGTGCCAACTATGAATTCGTCTGGTGAAATGTAATAAGACATTAGGAATTTTTAGGATTCCAGGCGGGATCACTAAGATAGATTGGTTGTCAGAGAAAGTGTAGGGTCAGAATGCCCTTGAATAATTTATAAGTGCTAATGGAAATAAGTATTTGCGGTATATTTCAAAAGAGATTTTCTTGTCATAAATATATGGTTCAGTAATTGTTAGTCATTTAACTTAGCAAATTTTGGCTAAATGGTATGAAGCAAAACGGAACTTATGGAACTATGGAAGTAAGCCATATTGAATTTGTTTTGACTTGAGTTAAACCTTTTCAACGTAAATACACTTAATCGAATTCACATCTATTCGCACGAATACTATAATAACAATAATATAGCCTTTAAATTCCGAAACTCTGTGATTTTATATATATGAACTTTAATATGTTCTCACTCCAGTATATCTCGGAGTTTGGTGTGCAAAGACAAAGGCCTCCTCTAACGTTTTCCACTGTTCTCTATATTTTGTGACTCTTCTCCAGTTGTAGCCTGCTGTTAGTTTCAGTTCGTCCTCCCATCTCTTGCGCGGTCAGCCTCTTCTTCGTCTTCCGTCTCTAGAGTACAATTCCGTCAATATTTTGCTCCATTTTTCATGGGAGATCCGTAGCATATGACCCGTCAATCTCCATTTCATTTGGTCTATCTTAGTGAGAATGTCTGTCTCGCCTGTTCTAGCTCTTATGTCTGCGTTTAATTGTTTATCTAATTTTCTTATGCTCAGCATGCTTCTTTCCATGGCTCTTTGAATACTATAAGTATGATAATTAAACGCGTTTAATTCGATAGTTACTTCTAAACAAAACATCCGCTATCTAATTACTCGGTTAACATTCTAATTTCATAAAGTTAATTAAACCACAACCGCAATGTCAATCTTCGCAATTTGAACTCAATCTGGTCCACGTATAGTTTACAAACCTAATATTATCATTGAATTAGGCCTATATTTGTGTACATAGAATAGGTATCTCCATTTCAAACCTCACGCTCAAATATCGGCAAGGCAAAGGTACAATACAAACAATAGGTACGGAATGAAATGGGTCGGCCAATACTATAAATAATGCATCACATACATTATACTGCGGGGAAGCTGTTTTTTGTATCTCTTGAAATTTCGCAGATTTCTGTTATTGGTCCTCTTTTTTCCCGACTCTTTATTCGAATCTAAAAAGGATGTGTTGATATACAAATAATAATTAATATTGCGTCAATGTTTGCTTGAGCAGGTGGCTTGTCGGTGTTCAATACTAAATATAATGATACATGAGTAAAATAAATACAAGAAAATAATGTACAAAAAGTTTCTTACAGTTGTTTTTCTTATTTTTTTGTGTGATAGGGTATGTTTATATATGTATTTATATATACTTTTTATATACATATTAACATTCGCTCGAACGGTGAAGGAAAAAGTCGACGGCGTGCTTCAGGCACAGGAGGCTCATCACCTACTTGCCTATTAGATTAACAAATGATCATGAAACAGATACAGAAATAGCGCCACTGATTTTTTTAAACATATATTTATTATATATATAATCTTTTTATTTAAAGCAATTATCGGTAATTCAGTTTTTAGGACATATACAAAATATTTTAAGTTTAATGCAACTAAAAGAGGATTACAATAAATTTTATTACATAACATAAACTATGTTATTATACAATTTGTTTTATTTAAGTATTGACTTAGTTTTTCACTTTTTGCACTTTCTTACTAGGTTATCCTTGAAGAGATCGCGTATTAGCGATAAGTCACCAGTTGCCACCCAAAGTTACGTAAATGTCAATGCTATTTTTGCACTATCCTTTTAATACATACATTTTTAAACCAGGCGATATTACTAAGAAGCGCCCCTTCATCGCTAAGCGAGTGCAATATCAAACTTCCCTTTTCATATAGACTTCCAAAGTAATTCCCCGTTAATCGAAGTGAGTTTAGAGTGACACGGACAGCAAAAGTTGTAAGATTAAAACTGAGCTCACCCCTCAACTCTCAAATTTCTGATCACGGCGGACGCCTACGGCCTTCGTTGCTTGGGGTGAATTATTAAACGTATCTTATGTAAGGTAAACGCTCGGAGCTGTGCGTGTTTTTATATCAATATAATTAGGTAATAGACTTATTTTCGCGAGGCTGTAATAAATTATTAGCTCACGAAATCTCAGGGGAATTTATTCGTTCACGTTTAATACGATTTGGGGTTAGTCGAATTTTGTATGATTCTAAATTATATTTTTTTATTTAAAATTGTATACAGCCGATATATCACTGTGCTATCATAGGCCAATTTTTATTATTCTAAGTGTAGGAAAAGATAGAACAAATACTAGCTCTTTGAACAAAACCTACGGTTTTAAATCAATCAGATATTAGATTGCCAACCAACATAAACAGTAATTTAAAAAACTACTTTTATATGCGTTTTATATACGTTTTGTCGCGCTCCTAAACAAGACTGCTATGTTTATTGTGATTATATTAT